CATTGAAAAACTCAATAAGGCATTAACATTATTGAATTCTAAACTATCTCCCTTAGACTATATCTGTATCAAGAGACTCATCAATAAGAATGTCCATAAAAAACTACTTGAAGTTGACAAAATTCACAGTAACAAACTTTTGAAACTAGGAATTGATAATGAGAAAAAAGTGGAAAAAAGCAAAGTCATCTTTAATTTTTCTGAGAAAATCTTAACCGAAGAACAGAAAGATATTCTCTCTCATGGCCTGGATTACTGTATGCCTCCAACCAAATTTTCTTTTCACAAATTTTACCTCTATTTTGAAAAGCTTTGTAACAATCTAAAGAACTATGATATTTATAATAACTCATTTCATAATGTCACCAATAATATTTCAACTATAGCCAACAACACCTTCAAGAAATTCTCTCGTCTGGCTAATCAAACAAGTGATGCAGAACGTTTCACGTCACCTCTACAATCACTTAAGAATGACGAGTCCATAATAATCACCAAACCAGACAAAGGTCGGGGAGTAGTCATTTTAAACAAAGACGACTATCATCAGAAAGTACTTAATATTCTTAGTGACCATACTAAATTCAAGAGAATCACTACTGAAATGTCCACTCACTTGTTATACCTTGAAGATAAGTTAAAAAGACTACTCCAGACCATTAAATCATCCATTGATGCAAGCACCTATAATTTCCTGTCAACCTCGGGTTCCAAACCCGGATTGTTATATGGTCTCCCCAAAGTACACAAACCAAATATTCCTTTAAGACCCATTATTTCCTCGATTGGCACTTTTAACTATAACACTGCTAAGTTTCTGGTTCCAATTATTTCTCCGTTAACTACGAATCAGTACACAATTGAAAATTCCACAGTTTTTGCAAATGAAATCACTTCACTAAACCCTGAACAACCATCACCATGGCAAGTTTCGACGTGGAATCATTATTTACGAACGTGCCACTTCTGGAAACATCGGAGATTATAGTGAACAACATAAACTCCACTCATCTTAACAAATTTGATTTAACTAAAGATAGCTTTAAAAAGTTACTCCATATTGCAGCTCATCACTCTGTATTCTCGTATGATAATGATCTATATACCAAACAGACGGAGTAGCAATGGGATCCACTGTGCCCCATCATTGGATACGACTCAATAGCAGGTAATCTTCTTCTTAGGTTACCCGGAAAGGTTCTTTGGGTTCTTTTGTTGTTCAAATAATCGGTGGATTAGCCGTTTTTACAATCTTTTTAGAAATTCATTCCATCTTGGGAGGAAAGACAGTTTGCTTACACAGGTTGTGGCTCTCCGTGGATGAGTGTTTTTATTAATAACTGGTTTAATCATTATTGTAGAGTATGGATTTGATAAGAAGTGGAAGATAATGGTTACATGGTAAATATGAGATTGGTTACCGGTACGTACTTGTGTGGAGCGTCCATTATCATTGGGTCTACCGTAATGTCTACAAAGGAGAATTCAGAGTACGTTGGTATTGTTCTACTTGTTATCGTGTTTTCACGAACGTAAATTTATGCCTGGTGTTTAGGAGTTGAAGATATTTAAAATAAATTAAGACTGTGATGATGATATTGATAGATGGTGTTTGAACATGCTAAAAAGTACTATATTAGTCTCGATGTTCCAGAGTAGTAAATTATTGGGATTCAGGTCAGCCATGGCTTATCATTAATGGTCTGTAAGCATTTCCCGTTGAGCGGTAGTATAGAGGTTTTGGGCACTAAGTGGGGTGGATCTTCTTGGCTACTTATTATTCACTTAAAAAAACCAAACATTAATTTCTTGGAAAAAACAGAACACCACTACCCTCTCTGTTTTGGGGAGATATCTCATGGTAATTATATAGTAACGAAATACAGAGTCGATGAACAGCAGATTATGGTGTTAAGGATCGCTTTTAACAGCTACATTAGTTATCAATCATAATCTCGTTGTTTAAAGATGACGTGAGATCTTTACCGGCCTTGTTTAAGTGGCTGCTTCACTTATATACTCAGATGCTTTTCATAGAAGTGGCACGTTTAGTAAATAATGTCACGTCGAAAACTTGCACAATATAGTGTCGACTCATGGATTGGTCATCTACAAATAAACAGTATAAAAAAATCATCAGAGAGCCACAACCCCTGGTAGCAGGCTTGGGTGCTAGTGATCTATTTTTGGCATACCAGATGAATGATGTTAAGGGGATTTTTTTTTCTAAAAGAATATTTGTGTTGTACTAGGATTGGTAAGTTAGGTATCCGGGAGGAATGATATATTATTTGGATTTCGAAAACCTTAGACAATAGATTGTAATTTAGTAGATACTAATTCGTATGTAGAGAGAAATATATGTCGGTAAAGGGAATTATTTGGCGTTTTTAGGTTACGTATCATAATGCGGAGCGAGAGATAAGAATAATCAAACAAGATATTTTTCGCTCGAAACTGCGTGTTTAGTTTGTGGGGAAACTCTCAAGGGTCTTGGGTG